GGCTATTTTTTTTGGTTGCAGCCATCATTGTTGTTTTGGTGGGCCCGGGCTATTGAACCTGCCACCTTAGGTGTATGTGGCTGGTGCCTTAGCCACCGAGCCGATCTCAATACTGTTAATATCCACTTATGCAGCTGGAAAAAATACTAGAATGAAATTTAAAAAACAGGAATCATTAGTTAGCTACCAGAAAAGTGTATATTTATTTGTTTACTGACTTATTATCAATTGTCTCTACTACAGTATGTGCCCCTGTAGGGCAGCAATCAGGTTTGTATACAGATGCTAGATCAGGGCCTGGCATAACACAGTAAGCATTCAATAAAATTTTGTTGAATCAGGGCGCCCCTGTGGCTCAGTGAGTAGGGCAGTGGCCCCCTATACCAAGGGTGGCAGGTTCAAACCTGGCCCTGGCCAAACTGCAACAAAAAAAATAGCCAGGGGTTGTGGTGGGCATCTGTAGTCCCAGCTACTCGGGAGGCTGAGGCAAGAGAATCGCTTAAGCCCAGGAGTTGGAGGTTGCTGTGAGCTGTGACGCCACAGCAGTAGAGACTGAGGGTGACAAAGTGAGACTCTGTCTCAAAAAAAATTTGTTTTTGTTGAGTCAATGAATTAATTGGTTACTTGGGAAGGAATGATTGAGAAATTTTTTTTTTACTCTAAATTACATTTTGCAAATACTCAGTGATCAATGTGAATTATAACTATAAATAGAAATAAGAAATAAAAGTTATAGCAAGTTCATTAGCTCAGCCTTATAGTCATAATAACGTTTTATAAAAATCTAGAAGATGACAAAGGTCTTAAAGAGGTGTCTAATCAATCACTCACTATCAGCCTGGAAGATAGCTGGTATCATGTTTCTGCTGCCTTACTGGACAACACGGTGGTGGGGGTAGGAATGTGCAAGTGCAGTCTCTGGGACAGTGGCTGGACCAGTCTGAGCTTTCTTTCTTACCTATCTTAGCATCCTTAGACTAAGATGCTAAGATCAGCCATCTAATAACAACAACCTCTAATACAAAAGTACCAAACAGGATAAAAAAGTAAAGAAAAATCCCATTGCTCAGAAAAATATACAGTGATCATAAAGGCAGGTAAGGTTGAGTAATATTATAATAAAAGATGGTTATTAATAGTATCGTGAGATAAATAAATAGAACACGAACCTCACAGCCAGCCATTGTCGATCCACCAGAAGATGAACTTTGTCGATTCTGACGTTTTTGGCATAGTGTAATCGTTTTGGCAGATCAGGAGACAAATAGGGTTTGAAATGCTGGTCAGGTTTTCGGCACTGAAAAATGAGTAAATATTTCATGACACATAAAGTCTGCAAACTAATTCAAAAATTTCAGCTTCTATGATAGTTTGTGAAGCACCTTTTTAAAGTATTGGGATTTAAACTTAGCTAAAAGAAATAAAACTATTATCACCATAGTCAAATTCGCTCATTCTAGTTTTTATCGTTGCCACAATAATCAGGTTGGTATTAAAAATCTGGCTTAAATTGTGATTTCATGTGTGTTGTTTTAAGTTTTTATACATTTTAAGCCCTTGCACTTTTTTTTGACAGAAAATAGATATAAATAAATTTATAGTGAAAATTATAATTTTTGAATCTAAATTACATATAAAAAGTATGGGTACAGGCGGCACCTGTGGCTCAAAGGAGTAGGGCACTGTTCCCGTATGCTGGAGGTGGCAGGTTCAAACCCAGCCCAGCCACAAACTGCAAAAACAAAACAAAAAAATAAAATACAGTATGGGTAAAAAAATTATAAAAGTCAATTTAATTGCACCAAAAAGCCCTTCCCAACTGACTCAATTTGCCTTTTAAATGAACTACATTTGCTTGGTTTTCAAATCAAGTCATCTGTTTTTGAAACCTACCATGGTCTCCCCACTTATAAAATAAACCATGGATTGCTCAGACAGTGGAATAAGATTTTGTTTTGTCAATAACTACTGTTAGATCGATATGGCATATTTTAAAACTGTAAAAATGCAAAAAACATTGATATCTACTGATGTAAAAGAAAAATGAGGAAATAAGACATAGAACTACAAAGGAACCTTCTTTCCCTTATGACCTTTCCTGTGAAACAAGGGGAAGAAAAAGAATAAACATAAAGGAGATGAATTTTTTTCTATTTCCTCATATCTTTTTAACCACAATATCTCATGGAGATGAACAAGTTCTGTGTCACTACGATCTCGTGCCAATTTATATAAGAACATTAAGCTAAACTCTCAAACACGTAATTCATGAAAACAAAATTCAAAAAAATATATAGAAAAATAGGAGAGCAAAGAAAAGTTGACAGTATGAAGGGGGAAAGAGAAAAATATTTATTGCAAATATATTTTTATCAGGTTTTTTCCTGCCTATTCTGGTATCTTTTCCAGGCATCTAATTTTTTTCCTTTTTCATTGTTCATCACTTCTTCTTTTTTTTTTTTAATTATTTATTTATTTATTTTGGGGGGCCGGGGCTGGGTTTGAACCCACCACCTTTACCATATGGGGCCAGTGCCCTACCCCTTTGAGCCACAGGTGCTGCCCCCATCACTTCTTTCATAAGCCATTATCTGTGTAACTTCTGGGCAAACACGTGCTGGCAGCTCCTCAGGTGCAGCTTCCCGTAACATACAAGGGCATAGAACATGCCCCTGAGTGGGATTAGTCACGCTTCTCCAGCCAGCGTGTAGCCAGACTGAATTTAGAGAAAATTGGAGGTTCAGGGCCAACTTCAGACATAAGAGTTAGTCTCTGCATTTTCAAATTTGTCATGAAGTCACCAGAGTTGAGATAAAATTTTTGTTATATACAGCAATGTCTCAGGATATAAAATCAATGGACGTAAATCAGTAGTCTGCATTTACGCCAACAACAGTCACACAAGGACACAAGTCCCTTCATAGTCACATCAAAGAAAATGAAATACCTTGAAATATATTTAACAAAGCATGTGAAGAATCTCCATAGAGAAAACTATGAAATACTGAGAAAACAAATTGCAGAGGACAGTAACAGATAGAAAAACACACTACGCTAATGGCTAGAAAGAATGGACATTGTTTTTTTGTTTACTTTTTTTTGTTTTTTTGAGACAGAGCCTCAAGCTGTCCTCCTGGGTAGAGTGCTGTGGCATCACAGCTCACAGCAACCTCCAACTCCTGGGCTCAAGTGAGTCTCCTGCCTCAGCTTCCCAAGTAGCTGGGACCACAGGCTCCCACCACCACGCCTGGCTATTTTTTTGGTTGCAGCCATTATTGTTGTTTTGGTGGGCCCGGGCTGGATTCAAACCTGCCACCTTAGGTGTATGTGGCTGGCGCCTTAGCCACTTGAGCCACAGGTGCCGAGCCAAGAATAAGAATTGACATTGTTACGATGTCTATACTACTATTGAATGCAATTCCCATTAAAATACCAAGGTCATATTTTGCAGACCTTAAAAAAATGGTTCTGCACTTCATATGTAATCGGCAAAAGTTCTGAACAGCCAATGCAATTCCGTGAAATAAGAACAAATCCAGAAGCATCACTTTACCAGACTTCAGTTTATATGACAAGTCTACAGTGATCAAGACAGTATAGTATTGTCATAAAAATAAGAGACATATACCTATGGAACAGAACAGATGAAACCAGCCTCGTATAGCCATCTGACTTTTGATAAGGCAAACAAAAGCATGCTCAAATACAAATAGGGAAAGAATCCCTATTTAGTAAAAGGTGCTGCAAGAACTGGTTAGCCACATTAGAAGAAATAGAACGTATATCTCTTACCACTCACAAAAATCAACTCACGGTGTATAATAGATTTAAAACTAAGACAGGAAACCTTAAAAATGCTAGAAGAAAATGTGGGGAAAACTCTTAATTTTGTCAGCCTAGGGAAAGAGTTTATAAAGAAGACCCCAAACGCAATTTCTGCAACAATAAAATTAAATAAATAGGACTGATCAAGTTAAGAAGTTTCTGCACAGCTAAGTACTTAATCAGCAAGGCAAAGAGACAAACTGCAGAATAGGAGAAGATACTTGCTAGCTACACATCTGACAAAGGGCTAATAACCAGAATCTACAAAGAACTCAAGCAAATCAATAAGATCAAACAACACCATTATAAACTGGGCAATAGAGGCTTGGTGCCTGTAGCTCAGTGGCCAAGGGCACCAACCACATACACCGGAGCTGGTGGGTTCCAATCCAGCCCAGGCCTGCCAAACAACAATGACAACTACAACAACAACAAAATAAAAATAGCCAGGTGTTGTGGCCCGTGCCCGTAGTCCCAGCTACTCGGGAGGCTGAGGCAAGAAAATCACTTTAAGCCCAAGAGTTTGAGGTTGCTGTGAACTATGATGCCACAGCACTCTACCCAGGGCAACATAGTGAGACTCTGCCTCAAAAACAAACAAACAAAAAACTGGGCGATAGACATGAACAGAAACTTTTCTTATAATGATAGACTAATGATCAAGAAACATGTGAAAAATGCTCATCATCCCTAATCATCAGAGAAAGACAAACCAAAACCACACTGAGATATTACTGAACCAAGTGAGAATGGCCCACATCATAAGGTCCCAAAGCAATAGATGCTGGATCCAGAGAGAAAGGAATACTCACAAACTACTAGTAGGACTGCAAACTGGTCCAGTCTCTATGGACATTAGTATAGAGATTGCTTAAAGAACCAAAAGTAGACTTAACATTTGATCCTGCAATCCCACTACTAGGTATTTACCCAAAAGAAAGAAACAGATTTTATCATAAAGACATTTATATCTTTACACATTTTTTGTCAAATGTCTGTGACAGCAAATCCACAATTGCAAAGATGTGGAAACAACCCAAGTGCCCTTCAATACGGAGGATTAATAAATTATGGTATATGTGTATCCTGGGATATTATTCAGTCATAGAAGAGATAGAGATTTTTTATCTTTTGTAACAACCCTACTTCAACTTGCAGTGGGTCCCAGATAGTATTAGCTACTCTTTATCCAGTGTTTATCTAAAATCATTCACACTCCACCGTCACAAATTTTACTATACAAGAATACCTCAGAGATATTGCAAGGTCAGTTCTAGATCACTACAATAAAGTGAATCACATGAATTGGTTTTCCAGGGCATATAAATGGTACATTTACACTATACTGTAGTCTACTAAGTGTGCAATAGCCTTATATCTTTTGAAAAAGTATAAACCTTAATTTTAAAATACTTAATTGCCAAAAAAAATGCTAGCAATTATTTGAGACTTTCAGAATAATTCAGAAGCTTTCTGTTGGTGGGGGTTCTTGCCTCGATGTTGATGGTTGCTAACTGATGGGGATGGTGGTTGCTAAAAGTTGGAGTGGTTGTGGTCATTTCTGAACAATAACAATGAAGTTTGCTATGTCGAAGGACTTTGCCTTTCAGGAAAAAATTATTTATGGTATGTAGTACTGGATAGCATTTTACCTACAGCGGAACTACTTTCAAAACTGGAGTCAGTCCTCTCAAACCCTTTCAAAGCTGCTACTTTACCTACCAGCCGCTTGTAATATTCTAAATCCTTTGTTGGGCTTCAACAATGTTCACAGCATCTTCACTGGAGTAACATGTTCACAGGAGTAAATTCCACTTCAAGAAATCCTTTTTTTGGTTCATCCCTTAAGGTTTTATTATGGAATCACACCAACTCAGTCACATCTCCTGGCTCCACTTCTAACTCTAGTTCTGGCTGTTTCCACCACATTTGCAGTTTCTGCCTCCTCTGAAGTTTTAAATCCCTCAGAGTCATCCCTGAAGGTTAGAATCAACTTCTTCCAAGCTCCTCTTAATGTTGATGTTTTGACCTCCTCCCTTTAATCACGAACATCTTTCATAGTATCTAGAAGGGTGAATCCTTTACAGAAAGGTTTGGATTTACTTTGCCCAGTCCATCAGAAAAAGTCACTGATGGCAACAATAGCTTAAAAAAAAAAAAAAATGTGTTTCTGAGCTGAAGAGACTTGAAAGTCAAAATCACTCCTCAATCTATGGGCTGCAGAATAAATGTTTTATTAGCAGACATAAAACAACATTATTCTCCTTATAACTTACCTTAATCACCCCATATACATTTCTATAAGAACTCTTTTTGGGTGACTGCATTGTTAACAAGCAGTAATATTTTAAAAGAGGTCTTTTCTTCTGAGCATTAAGTGTCAATGGTGGGCTTAAACTATTCAATAAGCCCTGGTGTCCATAGATATTGTGTAATCCAGGCCTTGTTGTTCCATTTGTAAAACACAGGCAGAGTAGATTTAGCATAATTAAGGGCACTAGGATTTTCAGAATGGTCGAGGAATTCTGGCCTCAACTTCAAGTCACCAGTTGCATTAGCCCCTAACACTGAGTCAGCCTGCCTTTTGAAGTATTGGAGCCAGACACTGACTTCTCTTTGCTTGCTGTGAAGATCCTAGATAGAATCTCCTTTTAATAGAAAGCTGTTTCGTCTACAGTGAAAATCTGTTGTTCAGTGTAGCCACCTTCATCAATGATCTAGATCTTCTTGCTTCATCTTGCACATTTGTGTTATGATGATGCTTCTTTCCTTAAGCCTCATGAACTAACTTCTGCTGGCTTCCAATTCTCTTCTGCAGCCTCTTCACCTCTCTCAGGCTTCACAGAACTGAAGAGAGTTAGGGACCTGCTCTGGATTAGGCTTTGGCTTAAGGGAATGTTGTGGTGGGTTTAATCTTCTATTCAGACCACTCAAACTCCTTTCATATCAACAATAAGGCTGCTTCCTTTTCTTTTTCATTTTTTTTCTTTTCTTTTTTTTGAGACATAGTCTCAAGCTGTCACCCTGGGTAAGGTGCTGTGGCATCATAGCTCACAGCAGCTTTCAACTCTTGGGCTCACGTGATCCTCTTGCCTCAGTTTTTCTATTTTTAGGAGAAACAGGAGTCTTGCTTTTGCTCAGGTTGGTCTAGAACTCCTGAGCTCAAGCAGTCCACTCGCCTGGGCCTCCCGGTGGGCTAGGATTACAGGCGTGCGCCCCGGCGACCGGCCGCTGCTTGGTTTTCTTATGGTTCATGTGGTCCTTCGAGAATTATTTCCTTGTGTTCAGGACCTCGCTGTTTGGCACAGAGCTCTAGCTCTGTCTTGGCTTTTGACATGAATTCCTCACTCAGCTTAATCATTTCTAGACTTTGATTTAAAGTGAAATACTTTAAACTCTTCCTTTCTCTTGAACGCTTAAGGCCATTTTAGGGGTGAATAATTGGTTTAATTTCAATATTGTGTCTCTGGGAATAGGGAGGCCCGAGGAGAGGAGGAGACAGCAGTGGCCGGCAGGTGGCGCAGTCAGCACACCCTCAACGTCTGTGATTTAAGTTCAACATCTTAAATGGGCAGGGGTCCTGGCGCTCCAAAACGATTACAATAGTAACCTCAGATCAGACATCACCAGAACAGATATAGTAATTTAAAAGTTTGAAATGTGAGAATTACTAAAATGTAATAGAGACATGGTGTTGGGAAAACGGAACTGACAGACTTGTTGGACGCAGGGTTGCCACAAACCCTCAGTTTGTGAAAAACGCAGCATCTATGAAATGCAACACAAGGAGGTGAGCCTGAAACTAAAAACCATGTACGCTTAAATACATTACTCTCATTCGAAGCGATAGTGAACCTGTGAATTCCTTTTTACAATATGTAACTATGAAAACGACCACATTTCATTGCAGGCCTCTACAAGTAATGAGACTTACCTTGAAAAAATATATCATTAAGCTACCTGGAATTTTCCCTGCTCATTTACTTACAACCAGAGATGTGAGAACCAATCAAAAGCCATTGTAATTATACTTAGATTATTTTTCTGACTTGTCCAAAAAGATCTATAACAGTCTATGATTCACTATTTTCTTCAAATTACACAAAAAAATGAGAACAAAGATGGTACCAAAAGTTCACTAGTACAACTCCCCCCTCCCCCTGCCTTTTCTTTTTTGAGAATCTCACTTTTTTTCCCTGGGTAGAGCGCTATTGCATCACAGCTCACAGCAACCTTAAAATCCTGGGTTCAAGAGATCCTCTTACTTTAGCCTCCCAAGTAGCTGGGACTACAGGTGCCCACCACAACACAGGGCTACTGGGTCTTGCCCTAGCTCAGGCTGATCTCAAACTCCTGAGCTCAAGCAATCCACCTCTCTAGGCCTCCCAAGTGCTAGGAGTGCTATGAGTACAGGTGTGAGTCACTGCAGCCCACCTTGGTGGGGTTTTTTTGTTTTTTTTTTTTTTTGAGGCAAAGTCTCACTCTGTTGCCCAGGCTAGAGTGCCACTTTGCCAGCCTACCTCACAGCAACCTCAAACTTCTACGTTCAAGCAATTCTCCTGCCTCAGCCTCCCAAGTAGCTGGGACTACAGGTGCCTGCCAGGATGACCAGCTCATTTTTCTATTTTTAGTAGAGACAAGGTCCTGCTTTTGTTTGGGCTGGGCTCAAACTCCCAAGCTTAAGGCATTCTCCCACCTCAGCCTCCCAGAGTGCTAGGACTATAGGTATGAGCCACCCTGCCATGCTTGGTCAGCACAATCCTTTTGAATGGGACATCAGCCCTTGCAATGAAAACCAGGAATTAAAGCCACTGTTAGTCCAAATTAATTTCCTAAGGCGGTTCAGCTCCAAAATGAAAACAATGAAGATAAAAGCAACTAATATGCATATAAAATAATGTTGATGGAGGATTTAAAAAATAAATTACGATGGCTTAGACTCAGAAATATGGGACACAAATTTCTCAAAACCCAGATTAAAGTCATTATATTTAGTTGAATGTATGTATTACGGAGACTATATACTTACACTGAGATTCTGAACAATTTCTTCAGAATTAACTGTTTCAAAAGAAAAAAATAAGTGACATTACAATCGATAACAACTGCAAAGAATGTGAACAACTCAGATGAATTTCACACATACACTTACTAATAACTATGATCTAATAAAATTAAATTTAAAATTATTTCAAGCAAAGAATTATTTTAGCAGTTAAGAATGGAGTAGGATGTACTTTAACCTGACAATATTCAGTTAGACTTTATAGACTATACTTACACCTAGGAATTTCTATATGCTCTGTGGGGCTTTCCCAAAGAGTTGATAGTGTGTCTGATAATCCCAACATCCTCGCAGAATCACAGGGCTATGGTTATTCGCTTTCAATTTTACCTTTTTTTCCCATATGGGTATCTTCATACTTACAACTAAAAAAGTCATGAGGTATATTACGAGCCCTGATGCGGGGGGCAGGTCCTTCAAACATGTAGAAGTTTATTTTGGGAAAATAATCACTCATATATTCCATCTTGTCACAGTAAGTCTGGTCCATTCCTGAATAATAATTTAAAAATCCGCTGAACATATATACAGGGTACCAATAGGTTGTCTTTAATCATGTTAAACAGCAGGCATTTTATGTTAACAAATCGCAAATCAAGTTGCACAATTTACCCTATAACTTTACTTTAAATGGCAGAAAACCATGGCAGTGGAGAAGGGCTACATTTATGAGGGAAGATTAGATGGGAAATAGACACAGATCATTTGTTCAAAGTAGATCAATGAAAGTAATTGCCAAGATGAAAGTCCTCTCTGGGAGGCTAGTTAAATCTTTATAGTAACTGATTTATATGTAAGACATTACACATTTTTAAACCAAAAAAGCAGTATGTATTTTTATAAAATAAAACATTAGAAGAATAAGGAGTAGAAAATAATTTACTTTTAAATGTATTTTATTTAAATTAATATGAGCAGCATGTGCTCTTAAAGGATTTGGCAGTTAAACCATTTTTTATTTGAAGACTCTTCAGATTACATGTACATTTTTTTTTTGAAATACAGGATCTCACTCTGTTGCCCAGGCTGGAATGAAACAGTGCAATCATAGCTCACTGGGGCCTCCAACTCCTGGCTTCAAGAGGTCCTCCTGCCTCAGCCTCCAGAGTGGAGGCACAGGCCACCATGCCTAAGTTTTTGTTGTTGTTGTTTGTTTGTTTGTTTTGTATTTTTCACAGTTTTTGGCTGGGGCTGGGTTTTAACCCAGCACCTCCAGCATATGGGGTCAGTGCCTCATTCCTTTGAGCCACAGGTACCGCCCACCTGACTCAGTTTTTTAAAAAATTGTTTTGCAGAGATGAGATCTCCCTGTGTTGCCCAGGCTTGTCTTGAACTCCTGACTTCAAACAATCCTCCTGCTCCATCCTCCTAAAGTGCTAAGATTACAGTGTGAGCCACTGTGCCCAACTGTATATGTAAATTTTTATTTATTTATTTATTTTGGAGACAGAGCCTCAAGCTATCCCCCTGGGTAGAGTGCCATGGCATCACAGCTCACAGCAACCTCCAACTCCTGGACTCAAGCAAGTCTCCTGCCTCAGCTTCCCAAGTAGCTGGGACCACAGGCGCCCGCCACAACACCCGGCTATTTTTTGGTTGCAGCTGTCATTGTTTGGCGGGCCCAGGCTGGATTCGAACCCACCACCTTAGGTGTATGTGGCTGGCGCCTTAGCCACTTGAGCCCCAGGTGCTGAGCTTAAATTTTTATTTTTAACAATTTCTTTCAACAAAATGTGCATTAATGGTTTCCTTTTAATGTAGATATCATAAGACAAAGTGTTAGGGGAACTCTCTCAGAACATTTTAAAATACATTACTATGTTTCTCATTAACATGATGTTCCAAGACACAAGCACAAGTTCTGCAGACACTTTCTTTTTCCTCCTGGTGCTCCACGCCTGGTCCCTTCCCAAGTGTTGGAGCTTAGCTTTGCACGTCCTCCCCACAAAGTGGTCCAACCTCCCCAGCTAGGAAAGGTCCACGTCTGCTTTACGTACTTCTGAACACTCTGAATCTAGTAAAGTGCCTGGCATTGAGTAGGCACTTAGAAAATACATGGAATCAATGCGTTAACACTTTAAAACCACATGAAAGCACCTGTGTGAGGTGGGAAAGCCTGTTCCCTCGTGTTATCGTTCGTGTTAACGGAAGTGGAGAGTTAATCTCAAGTAGAGAAATGTGAGGTGATGGGGACTTTAAAAATCAGATGCTATGATTAAACATGTATTTATTCACATAACTGAAAAAAATACAGATGGCCTGGCAAACGTGGCAGATATGATAAATTGCAGCCAATCTAAATGACTGAATCAATGGCTGAAAGAAGACCCCCAAACACTTTTTAAGATCGAATAACAACCCCACCACATCTGTGTTAAATACTGTTAACTCCATTTTTACAGAAAATAAGGTCGTTACATAGATTTTCTGGGATATTCGGATAATTAAACTAGAAATTTTAATTTACTCCTCTTTTCATCACAATTTTCCACCAAAATAGGGAGGCTGATGTGGGAGGAACCCTTGATCTCAGGAGTTTGAAATCAGACTGAGCAAGAGTGAGACCTTATCTTCACTAAAAATAGAAAAATTATCTGGGTGTTGTGGCAGGCACCAAGACTCCCAGCTAGTCAGGAGGCTAAGGCAAGAGGATCACTTGAGCCCAAGAGTTTGAGGTTGCTGTGAGCTAGGCTGATGCCATGGCACCCAACCCTGGTTATCAGAGTGAGACTCTATCTCAAAAAAACAAACAAAACCCACCATTTATCATCAAATTCATTCTTTGCTTCTTCAAGAGTTTCTAAGTCTGGAAATGCAGACTTTAAAAATTCAATACTATTTTTGTATCATTCCCGAAGTGCTAATAAATCATCAATGACAAACTACGATCGATGATAAAACATGACTTCTTAAGAAAAAACATACCATGGTCAGCCAAAAGGATTATATTGACACAATTGTGTAAATTCCTCTGCTTCAGGCCTTCCATCAACATTCCAAAAGCATCATCTACTAACTGTAAGGCTTTAATTACCTAAAAAAAAAAATAAAAAAAATTGGGAGTTAAGATTGTCCTCATATATTGTTTCAATTAACCAAATCATTATCTAATCAAGCACAAATTAAACACATTTCCTTCTCTGAAATGGCTGGCTTTTACAATAGAACATCAGAACCCAGCACCCATGTGCTACCTCATTTATCAAATACCAATTCCCTAAATGTCTATAAACAAAAAATTAAACCGTGTTCCCTTCAAAGGAAGATGGACTACAGGCCAATAAATACATGAATCAATGTTGAATGTCAACAAAGACTATTCAGCTGTAAAGGTTTTCATCATCATGGCAGCCCCTTCTGAGGGAGCCTAAATGGTTACATTCATTCCAGAGAGGCGTGGGATGGTGGATTACCACACAGTTAAAAAGGGACATACTCTTGTAACATAACGATTCTACCTCTGGGCATTTTTCCTAAGTATACACACAGAATACAAATGGAGATTTATATAGGAACATATTCATCACATTATTGATTTATAATTTAAATTCAAGGAAAAACAAATAATGGCATGTCCTCAAGAAGGCATACTCTGAAGCTATTATAAATCACTGTTTAGGGCGGCGCCTGTGGCTCAAAGGAGTAAGGCGCTGGCCCCATATGCCAGAGGTGGCAGGTCCAAACCCAGCCCCGGCCAAAAACTGCAAAAAAGGACAAAAAGAATCACTGATTAAAGAACAGTGGCCTAGGAAAACACTTTGCAACAAATACAACCTTAAACATAAAAAAGAAAACCAATCTGTCTGGTACACACCTGCATATATTGTATAATCCTGATTTTATTTTTAAATATATTTGGACATTTATTAGCAAATATGCATACACAGAAAACTAAAAGGAAATATATCAAAGTACTATTAACAGTGGTCATCTTTGAATAGTGGAATTGGAGTTCGTTTTATTTTATTGTTTATACTCTATTGTTTTAAATTTTGTTCACACTTTATCAGTGCAGTGCATTGAGCTGATGTAAGATTTAAATAAATTTTTCTGACATAAATTTTTCGTATTTTTTCCAGTAAATTAGAAAGTGTAATAGCAATGGATTGGGGGAAAGTTTTAACTCTCATAGTATTGTTATTACTAATAACAATTTACCTTTTTTTATTTTTTATTTATTTTTTAAGAGACAGAGTCTCACTTTATTGTCCTTAGTAGATGACCATGACAGTGTCACACAGCTCACAGCAACCTCCAACTCCTGGGCTTAGGTGGTTCTCTTGCCTCAGCCTCCCAAGTAACTGGGATTACAGGTGCCCACCACAACGTCCGACTGTTTTTTTGTTGCAGTTTGGCCGGGGCTGGGTTTGAATATGGCCGGTGACCTACTTACTGAGCCACAGGCGCTACCCCCTTCTTTTATTTTTTGAGAAGGAATTTTACAAGCCAGGTAGTGTTAAGAGCTTTAGCCCAGGACCTCATGAAATCCGCTCAGCAAACATTCCTGGATGGTGCTGTTGGAACTACCAGTTAATTGTAACAATCAGGAGACCTGAGGTTTAAAGAAGTAACATGCTCCTGGTCCTACAGTTAATAAGGGACAGAGCAGAACTTGACCTCAACCCACACTCCATCTCCTGCTAAATCCATCACCAACCCCAAGATGCTCTCTTGACCCTCAACCTGAGGGTGACCTACTCTCTGGTTTCCCAGTAAGAGTCCAGGTTTTCACCTGGTGTCATGTCACTTGGTCATTCTGCTCACTCCCCACAGCCACACTATGGGGCCCTCCTATTCTGGCCTCTCCAGCACCCTGGCACACTAATGCTACTGGACTCCTCATGGTTTTGAAATTGTCTGTGTGTGTGTCTGCCTCCCAAGGACAGCATGAGTTCCTTCAGGGAAGGGATTGTGCAACCTAACTCATGTTTCCTGAACTAGAGTCCTTCACAAAGCACATGCTCCACAGAATGTGAAGTGACAGGATGTGAGTCTCTACCTCTTGCCCACCCAAAGAAAAGAAACCAGAGATCCTTGTAACCGGCAAGGAGTGAGTGGGGGTGGTACAATTATTTACAGGGGTAGAAATGGAACTTTTCATTCCATCTGAGATGTGATAAATTTTTTATCAATAATGAATAACAGGCTCAGTGCCTGTAGCTCAGTGGTTAGGGTGCTGGCCATACACACCGGGTTCAAACCTGGCCCCCGCCTGCTAAACAACAATGACAACTACAACAACAAATAGCTGGGCATTGTGGCAGGTGCCTCTAGTCCCAGCTACTTGGGAGCCTGAGGCAAGAGAATTTGCTTAAGCTCAAGAATTTGAGGTTGCTGTGAGCTGTGACACCATGGCGCTCTACCGAGGGTGACATAACAAGACTCTGTCTAAAAAAAAAAAAAAACAGAATAACAGTGGAAGCTTACTGAAGTATGATGTAGGCCATTATTCATTATTAAAGTTACTCATGACCAGTCAGGACATTCTGTGACCAATTTATCTTCAAACCTAGAGACACACTGTGACACATTTGTGAAGATATTCATGGTTTCACTATGCTTCAAATGCCTCTCCCAGCCTTTCCTGTCCAAATCCTAACACCCTCTATGTCCCCATTTCATAAACCCTCCTTAAGTTATACTCGGTGACAAAAACTTCCCACTGAAGTATTGTTTAAGCTATCAAAATTTTAACATTTTAACATTAAACAATTTCTTTAAAAATACCTCATTGGACATTAACTCATTATGTCTTTTCTTTGTCCCTTTAGCACGGTTCCTAGCTGTAGCAGGTGAAGTCATCTTCTTTACCTCTAAGAACGTCTAGTACAGTGGTTCTCAACCTTCCTAATGCTACGACCCGTTAATACAGATCCTCATGTTGTGGTGACCCCCAACCATTAAATTATGTTCGTTGCTACTTTATAACTGTAATTTTGCTACTGTGATGAGTTGTAATGTAAATATCAGATATGCAGGAGACTCCCCGAAGGGGTCGCGACCCACAGGTTGAGAAACACTGGTCTTGGACAATATTAGGCCCGCGGGAAACTGTTTTAAGGTAAGCCTTGAAGAGAATGCAGAGCAAGAAGGGTTTTGATAACTGAAAAATCTGGAATAGTAAATGGCTGAAAACAAAATAGCCTTTTTACTTTCAATTTACAAGTCATATAATTAACTCTGAGTGAAGTATGTGATTAAAAATAACAAAAAGAGGAAGAACGTCATTTCTGTCCATTCTGCTGCTTCTTCCTGAGTTTTAAATGAGGCTTGGTCTTAGTGCCTCTTATTGTCACTTTTCATGCTCTCCCTTAAAACATCTCCACTGCCATGTACCACTTATATGTTGCCAAACTCCCAGATCTTCATCTCTTTGGAGTTTTGATTCTATATTCGATTATCCTCTGGAAATTTGGATGTCATAGGCGCCTCAATTATAAAACTAACATCTCTCCCAAACATCATTGGTCTTATTAATGTCAATCGAGCCACCTACTAGTGAATACAGATGCCAAGAAATCATCCTGAATTCCCCACGTCCTCATCAAATTCACTCTAAGTCATGTTTAGTCTATATTCTAAATGAATCTCCAATGCATCTTCTTCCATCCATGCTGTTACCCCTACCCTAATCCAAGTCATTATTACCTCTTTTCTGGAATGTTCCAAAAGCTCACCTGTCTCTCTCAGTTTCCTTGCTTCCTCTAACTCATCCCTCTTACATGGTAAAAGTGATCTCTAAGTACACATAGGTCTGCTCGGGTCACTGCCCTGATCACGGTGCCTCAATGCTTGCCATTGTACATGGCCTGCAAGGACCCACAGGACTGCCTGCCACGTCTGGGCTGCCTCCTAGGCACCTCCTCTGGTTCACAGTGCTCCAGATTGGTGGGAGAAAATACTCATAAGGCATTTACAATGTCACTCAGTAGGCCCAGAGCAGCACGCAGTAGGGCTACCATTGCTATTCTTACCATTATCATCTCATCTACTTTTCAAGCCATCTAGCCATTAGTCTGTCTGTCTGTATGTCCCTCCCATGGGTACACCTCCGTCTTCATCAGGCCACCTGAGAATTCTGTTTCCTTTTTGTCACTGAGAGGAGAACCTCCTAACCAGCTCCAATTCCCACCAGCTCCCAGATGAGGTCAGGGATCACCCCCTGGGGCTGCTCAGGGCACACTGACCTTCACCTCTGCAGCACTTTTCACAGTTCTATGTAAAATGCGTGTGGGTGCTGAGCTAGAGCACTGAACAGACAGAAAAGGAAACGGGGCTTGAACGTTGGCTGTAGAGGTCAGGCAAAAGCAGATAGAGAGCCATCTCTCAAATGCTGTTGGTCACATCCAACTCGGCTCACAGTTGAAATAGGAAGGAAGAAACGATGAATGTGTTGCAGGTAGTTACCAAGCCACTCGCACTTAGGGTAATCTGAATAAATCTAATATTCCATGATTCAGCCGACAGAGCTGTGGGAATACAGAGGAAGCCTGAGGCTTAAGAGTGTCAAGGCTTGGGCAGGGCATTATAGTCGGTAGCATTCTGTTCTAATAGGAAGGAAAAAAAGGGCCGTTCTGAGCAAAGGCCAAGGTGTGCTGCCAGAATGAATACGCTTGCATTCCAATCGAGAGTAATTATTAAGTGAGTTTCTACTGGTTGGGGAAATGCCATACTCACGGGAGCATTGGCAGCTTTATATCTGTGTCAAAGACAATAGAGGCTTCAGTGGAGTTTAGAAGAGAGAATGGCTTTTTTGTTAAAAACAATATTTAAAGATTCTATTAGAATACTAAAATCATAACAGAAGGGTCTGGAAAACAAAGAAACTTATATTGGAGAGTCTACTTCTAAGATAATAGGAGTTTTGAAGGGGACTAACTCTGCCTAAGGCAATACCATATTAAGTCAATAACATATAACGTTATTTTTATAAGAAATTTATGAGTGTAACTGCACAGGAGTAGACAGCTGGAGACACCAGAGTGGACTTGGAGGTGACTTAGCTTGCACATGTTACAGTGGCTTGTGCGTTACCTAGCCACGATGACCTTGTTACAGCAAATAACAGTACCACATGGAGGTAGTCCACAAATGTTCATCAAATGAGTTAAGACGTGGTTAATAAGGCAGTTGTCCTTTCTAGAATTTTACCTATTTTATGATTAATGAGGCAGATTAACCCTGGCATCCTTTTTTAGGCTTTTAACTATTTTGATTTTCTCCTCTATATATCAAATACATTTATGCTCAGTAGAAATCAATGAATACCATTTTATTTTGTGGATTAGAACTAGATGATTTTGAGACTGTGGAAACAGGAGCCTTGTTTCTGACCAAAGGAGGCAACGTGGGGCAGCCTGACCCAGCCTAGTTAACTGAAGAACAAAAACCAAATGATTTCCTAGGGGCTGGAATTCAGCCCATACCTACACAAGGAGGGGAGTCAACTTGTCTGTCTCTTGGGTAATGTCTTCCAGGACCACAGAAGCAGGATGCTGAAACCAGCTGAAAAGGAACCTGGCTTCAAAGAAACCAGACCTATCTCTAGATCTAACTGCCTCAAGCCAGAAGACACCCCAGATGATCTTACCCTGACTTTTCCTTCATCATAACCTAATTTTAAAGCTAAAACTCACACCCAAGGATGGAAACTTAAAATGCTAATGAAGAGGGTACCTTAGAGCCTGTATTCCTGCTCTGAGATGTTGGGGCAGGAAGATTGCCTGAGGTTAAGCATTAGAGACCAGCCTGAGCAAGAGTGAAAGCCCTTTAGTACAAGAAGCAGAAAAAATAGCCAGGCATGGTGGTACATACCTGTAGTCCTAGCTACTTGGGAGGCTGAAGTAGAAGGCTTGCTTGAGCCCAAAAGTTTAAGGTTGCAGTGAGCTGTGATGACACCACTGCACTCTAGCCTGGGCAACAAAGCCAAGACCTTGTCTCAAATAAATATACAATAAATAAATAAGTAAAATGCTACGTGTGATATGGGAAGGAGCTAGACTCCCAAGTGCATGTCCACCAACAGAACCCCACCTCTACATGTGATGACTTCAAAACTGAAACTTGTCCGTCTTTTTCTGAGACAGTCTTACTTTATTGCCCTTGGTAGAGTGTCATGGTGTCACAGCTCACAGCAACCTCAAACTCTTGGGCTTAAATTAAGTGATTCTCTTGCCTCAGCCTCTCAAGTAGCTGGGACTACAGGCGCCCACCACAATGCCTGGCTATGTTTTTTTTTAGAGACAAGGTCTCATTCTGGCTCAGGCTGGTCTCAAACTTGTGAGCTCAGGCAGTTCACATGCCTTGGCCTCCCAAAGAGTTAGGATTATAGGTGTGAGCCACCCAACGTGCCCAGCCCTTGCCCCTGTCTTTACAATCTCATAAAAGTCCCCAGCCCTTTGTGCAGGGGCCAGTCTGGTTGCCTCCTTAACCAGCACTGTCTTCCTTTTTGTTCAAAGGAAAACTTCCACTAAACGCCTGGCCTGCCAAAATCTTTCTGGTCTCATGCCAATAATTCACTGACTTAGGAACCAAGAACCTGATGTCTGGTATCAATTTTGCATTTCTTTAAAAACTTACTTTGGCACTGACTGGTCCACTGTCATGTCCTGAAGAATCAGGCTCTTCCAAGTACATGGTATAAAAACTGGGTCTAGGGGTAAAGTTGCAACAGAGGAAGACGTTATCAATGTAGAATGAACCTACGAGCCGCATTTGGGGTTTTGTAGATCTCAACTTGCTGGCTCTTTTTCTTTCTCTCTGGCCTCCTTTCCCCCACGCTTGGAGGTCCCACTTGGCCCCAACAGGGCTGGGTCCCCTAACAGGAAGTGAGACAGACCTTCCTGGATGTAAACAACAGTATGCCCCAGTTTTGTTCTTGTAGTTGAGACCACTCTTGCTTTGCCCCAGTCCTTTATATTTCCTGGTTTGGGACTTTTTGCTGACTCTTGGTTCTACTGCGCTGAGTTCTTGCTTTCAGCACCTGGTTTCTGATGCACTGTTGATTCGGTGCTCCCTGCCACAGTGCCCTCAGTCTAAGCCTGGTGCCACGGCCTTGCTGAGCACCTCGGGCTCCTGCAGGAGTGTCAGATCTACTCCTGGCTCTTCCCTACTCCAGACCTGGCTGTGTCACACTGGCCTCTGCTCTCGACTACTAGCTCTATTTCTGTTGTTCAATAGTGTCATCCATGTTCTCAAGACCAAAAAAGTAACCAACTCTCAGGAATAATTCTTAAAAAGTGCCCATTAAAAGGCCATGTCAGGTCTTTTCAAAAATCATTATTTAAAAGATAGAAATAATTTCTTTTTTTAACTCACATATATCCCACTAGACCAGCACATCTCTGACCCTAGATAATACCTTTCAGCTTCGGGCAAGTCCAGCCATTCTAATATTGTAAAGATCCTCTTTTCATAGGGGACACTCCTAAAAAAAAGAATAGTAAAGTTTCAAAAAAATCAGTCCAATCAAGAGGAAGTCCATTACATTCCTACTCAGAAAGGTTATCCACTGTCTACTTTATGTTTCTCTGTGATCTATGATCAAACTACGGAAAGAGATTCAGTAATATTCAAAGAGATTCCTGTTTCCAGTGTTTACATATAGAAACACTTGCAGCAAGATAAATTAAAGGTATATTGTTTTGTTTCCTCCTCACCATTCTTTCCTTCAATTTTCCTCCAGCTAAAATAAAAAGCCCTTGTTTATTACCCATTCATTCAATTTCTTTCATTTATGCGTTTATACATAGTAAGTATCTGTTACCAGACGCCATGTGTTCATTTGAAACAGAATTTATCAGCGAGCAAATGAAAGATTCTGTTCCGGTGGAGGAAGGCAAGCAACAGGGGACCAACCTAACACATAAATGAACTACAGGGTGTATTAAGAAGTGGCAGATGCTATGAACAGAAGAACAATGAGATCAGAGGAAGGGGGCCCTGAGAAACTAGGGTTGGGGTTGTTTAGAATTCTAAATCTTAGCGTGATCAGGATAGGACAATCTCAAGAAGGTCATTTTTGAGCTTGAAGGAGGTGGAGTGAGCACTGGGATCCATGGACTGAGTCATCTCAGGAGGAGGAACAGCGGGTGCTCAGGTCCCTCAGCAGAAACAAGCCTTGTTAGGCCCACCCAGGAGGTCAGAGTGGGCACCTGGGGGAATAGGTGATAAGGTCTGAGAGGTAGGGGGACAGACAGCTGGGGTCATGCCACATAGGGCCTTGAAGGCTTTCACTCTGAGTGACACAGGGAGCCACTGAAGTTCTTGTTGCAGGAGAGTACCATAATCTGACTTGCATTAAAGAAATAATTCTGCCAGGTGAAAAGAGAACAGATTGTAAAGCGTAAGAAATAGGGAGATGTGTAAAGAGGCGACGGCAGTAATACAGGCAAGAGGGAAATCTCAGAGTGGTAATGCTGGAGGTTCTCAGTTCTCACACTGCTGAGACTTTGAATTAGCGCCAAAAGCATCTACTGACAGACTGAATGAGGGCTATAAGGGAGAATGACAATCACTCCCTGATGACTCCAGGAGTTTTGGCCCAAACAAACGAAATAATAGAATTACCATCAAGATTAGGATAAAAAAAAATCCTGATCATTTCCACTTAGATGGGACCATATCTGAAAGTGCTTTACTACCTGTTATAAGGCACATATTTGGAAGGCAAGGTGCCATTTATAGGCACCTCTGATCCTGGCCAAAAGAAGGTAGCAGCTTTTAAACCTTGATATATTGCTGTCAGCCACATCTGCAAGAACAGAACATTTAGGATAAGTAAAATTTGATAATTAATTTGGGTAGAAATGGTGCACCTTACTAGAAACAATGTAAACAGTTGCAAAGTTTATTAAAATTTCTTTAAATTATTCAAAATGTGTCTTGGTAGCAGTCCAAATATGCAAGTATCCAGGGATATACCTGGAAAATCAAAACTTTAGTAAGACAGTAAGAGGTCAACGTCATTTTTTTTTCAAATTGGCAAGATTGTACTTTCTCTTTCCCTTTAAAAAAATTAAACAGAATGAAGAAAAATATTAACAGAAAATCTTTCTGTGTAACTTCCAGATTGATATATTTATAATACAAGCCCCAAGTTTTCACAGAAGCTATTTGAGTTAATAGCTTATGTTAAATCATAGAAATACCTTCCCACCCTCAGCCCTTAGGAGTTAGATGGATAATATTAAACTCAAAGTGAAGCAAGAAGATTGAGCCATTGTCACACTGGGAAATGGAAGTTACTTTGGGTGCCACATGCAGAATGCTACGTACTGGTTGCCCGTGCCACCAGGCTGGATTCTTTTGCTCCGGTGAAGAAAGGGAAAAGTTCTTGTTGAGATTTACATCGTACATGTTATTGTCAATGATGCCATGTGATTCTGGATACAAACCCTAAAATGATAATTTCAAACAGATTCAAGATAAAATATAAAAATACTTAAATTAAAATAGCATAAGATCTATTACTCATATTTAAGAAGGCTTGTATACGCCTTTCAATATAAAATACCAGAATCTGAACACAAATATCAAAAGTTAATATAATCATCCCTTGGTAACACAAATATCAGAAGTTAATACAATCATCCCTTGGTAACCATAGGGGATTGGACCCCTGGCTTCCCTCATGTACCCAAATCCAAGGATGCTCAAGTTCTTGACATAAAGTGGTATAGGATTTACATAACCTATGAATGTTCTCCTGTATATTTTAAATCACCTCTAAATTCCTCACAATACCAAATACTGTATGTTGCATAAATAGTTGTTATACTGTATTGTTGAGGGAATAATTAATTAAGGTAAGTCTGTACATCTTCAATACAGATGCGATATTAAAAAACATTTTCAATCCACAACTGGTTGAATCCAGAGGTGCAGAACCCACAGATATGGAGGCCAACTGGGTATATGTATATATACATACTTTTTTCCTAGCTCTACCAGTCTATAGCAGTGAATGAAAGACAGTAAAGGCAGATGGTTGCATTGATGGTGTTAATATAACTCCATGTGCTTAATAACTGTTAAAGTTTCCTCTATTACCATGATGGTTAGCCATTAGTTACATTGTCAATAATGGCAAGAAATTTTCTAGCTAGAACCTTTACATATCAAATGCCCTGGCTATCTTGGGTTAAAGTGTTATCAGTGCTTTAAAAGGGAGTCCTCCAAGTCTTTACCCATCTGTCCTTCCATTGGTCCAGTCATCTGTCCAGACCAATCACACATATCCATTCTACCCATCCACATCTGTTCACTGAATACCAATTACATCTTCTGTAGTTGTAACTACTTGTAGATAGATTTAAAGGTCACTAATTCATAGCATTACTATATATACACACAAGCATATACAAATATCTAAATTGAATAGTAAATTAATCACACTTATATATAATCCCTTATTTGTACATATGCATATGTGTATTATAATATTATGTATACATGTTTATGTGTGTATGTATACACATACTGTCATTTCTTGTTATTCATGGTAGTTACATTCCATAAAGTTGCCATGAATTCTGAATTAGTGATACTGAAACATCCTCCTGGAGAAAATACAAGGTTAGATTCCTAAGAGGCTCTGATTACCTTTTTGTCTGCCAATCACAACCTAACTTTGTTTTATGTATGTTTCTGTTTAATGACACCTTATTTAGTAGATATTGTTGGTTTGCTACAATTTATGCCGGAACAAAATTTAGCTAACACTGGTATTTTCTCTGTAAGGCAACTCAGAGCCTTCTTGCTCTTAGCTGAACTTTAGCACTAGCCTTGGGGGCCATTTTAAACGTGAAATGACCAAGAGAAAGCACAAATATACAAAAAGCACAGCACTAAATAGACAAGAGACTGTGACAGTGTCACTTGTTTATAGCATGTGAGCTGAAACAAGCAGGCAGAGTGTCTCCTTGTTAGACCTCAGCTAGGAATGTGTGGATCCAGCAACTCAAATTTCTTCCTGCTCTATAATGTTCACAAATGAGCACGAGTATTTGGCTTGGAGGTTATACAAATTTTAGCGAGTAGGCAAATCCATAAATATGGGATCTGCAAATAATCAGAATACACACATACACACAAGTGCTTAAGGGCTTAAATGTTACAGCTACTGTTCTATAGTAATAAAAGACTACAATGCAAAGTAAGGAAAGACAGACATATCCTTTGGTGATAAAGGCTGAGGCAGAGGACTCCTCCTAAAATGAGTTCTAAATCCATAAATCTTGTTTCTTTTTTTTGAGACAGGGTCTCACTTTGTCACCTTTGGTAAAATGCCCTGGCATCATAGCTCACAGCAACCTCAAACTCTTGGGCTTAGGTGATTCTTTTGCCTTAGCCTCCCAAGTGGCTGGGACTACAGGCACCCTCCACTCCCCTCTATTTTTACAGACGAGGTCTCAGTCTGGCTCAGGCTGGTCTTGAACCTGTGAGCTCAGGCAATCCACCCGCCTCGGCCTCCAAGTGCTGGGATTACAGACATGAGCCACTGCACCTGGCCCTACATTCATAGGTCTTAAATAACTTAACTTTTTAAGATAATTTTAATCATTCCACCTACATCTTTTTATACACTGAAGAGAATTCACTTGTTTTAGTTGCTTTATCTGAAGAGATATAGCCAGTGTGAATTCATTTATGAAATCAAAATCTTTTTCAAGTTAATTATAATGAAAAGACTAGGAAAGAACAAAATTTCCCACATCAACGTAGTTGCCTTTATGTACACTCTATCCTTCCCAGCGGATCTTCAGATAAGTGAAGGGCAATCAAAAGACTGGAAGAAAACAATATTTCGCACATCAAAGAAGCTATCTGGGCTCAACAAGGGTGAATTTATCTAATGCTTGGAATGCTCATTCACAGTTAATGCCTCACCGCACCAGACTGGCCTTACATTGAGCCATGACTCCCCACCCCGCCTGAATTAAGCCATGAACTATCATGACATGAGCTTGTTCAATGTGTGTCCAGGGTTCAGCCAGTTGCTGCCCACCCACGTCTGTCTGGTGTGTTCAGTTTCCTGTCTGTGGCTTTTCATAGACCCAGCACTTACTGTGACAATGGTGTAATGATTTGGGAAGGTTTTGGTAGGATACATAGCTCTCATATACTTGGAATGAATTCCACACGTCTCTGCAACAAAATATAGTGAGAAATTAGAAAGTTGTTTCTTACTCAGAGTTTTGCTGGCTCGTTTTTTTTTTGTTTTTTTTTTTTTTGGTAACTAAAGCTCTGAACATGTAAGCTTCCTAGAAAAACAAGAAACTAACTTGTACATTGAGGATGGAAGGAGGTTGTAATTCTGAACCCTAAACTTCCTCCATTGCCAGAAATTTCAGCTTTAGGAGAAAAGTGAGCTAAGTCAAGGTCCACAAAATTTTTCTGTAAAGAGCCAATTTATACATATATCAGGCTTTGTACAGCCATATGGTCTCTGTTGCAACTGCTCAACTCTGCCCCAAGCATCCATAGACTATATATAAACAAATGGGCATGGCTATGTTCCAATAAAACTTTATTTATGGACGTTGAAATCTGAATTTCATAATCTCATATAATTTTTACAAGTCACAAAATATTCTCCTTTTTCCCCACCCACTTAAAAATGTAAAAGAATTCTTCCTATATACAGCAGACCATACAGAAACAAGCCGACTGGACCAGATTCAGCCCACACACCACAGCTTACTGATCCCTGAGCTAACTGTACTCTAAACTCTACCCTGCCGGCTGGGTGTGTTTTTGCTGCTCGCCTGTTTCTGTCTTTGGCGATTTCAATAAGAATTTCTACATAGCATTTGCATCTACCCAGTACTTCCTATATCTAACATAACAAAGGTCAGTAGTAGAAAGGGATTTGAGATTTTATTTGTATAACAACATAAGCCCAAGTCATATGGTATTGTTTACGAAATGAATTAATTTTCCAGCTTTTTAAAAACATTCAGATGAAGATGAGGGTACAAATGTTTAGGTTACAATATTTTTGTTTCTAAAGTAAAGTTCAAGTTATAGTTGACCCCTTCACCCAGGGCTGAGCTGAACACCCTCACATTGTGCACATTAGCTGAGATCCCCCTGATCACCTTCCCTAATTTCCTGCTTATTATTTCCAGGACAGTTTCCAATATCACTGAAGTATCCTGTCATCTGTTTTTCACAAAGTCTGGCAATAATTTTGCTTCATTGTTTTGCTGTGTTTAATAACCCTATTTAAGGAGGTCAGAACCATCAGAGCACATTGCTATTTCCTCTGCACCAAAGAAGGGACGAGGAATTTTCCATACCTAAATCCTGTTGCCTGTTAATTCTAAAAGAAAGCTTCACTGTTTCAGGTTCAATTTAGGCTAAAACAAAAAGTGAAATTCATTGACAGTAACAATCTTTGCAGCTGGACATAATGAGTGTTTTCTCAAACAGGCATGAAATTGATCTCCTTACCAGCCTTCCGTCTAGGAATTTCCTTCTTTAGAATATTCTAGGGTCCCTTCAAGACCAACAAATAGGACTCTCTGATAAGGGTTGGAGGGTGGGAAGGGAAGGGAGTTAAAAAACAAAAAAACCCAACAACTACATATTCAATAAGCACCTCAGATGATTCCGATGTACTTAAGTCTGGGAGGTTAATAAATGAATAAATGTTAAGTTAAATTATATCTTATAAATCAAGTCAATCTAGGACTTGATTTATACATACAAAAAATGAAAAACTAGACTTGACTTTTCATACATAATGAAAAGGATTGCAGTAGGGAAAAACTCATACAATGAACGGACATGGTATAGACTCAGTCTCTGAATTTATTTCTTTGAAACATTGAGTGGCAAATTCAAAATTTTAAGGGGTATCAAGGAAATGCAAACTAAGCCAGCAGTAGTATAAAAACATGATGCACTCGGTTACAACGCTCTAAATGGGACACATCTGCTGACAATCTACAGTCTCCGGCTACCATTTTTATTACTTGCTTTTGAACCAAAGCGACTGCAGAAAAAGCCCACAGAAAGCGTGATCTTCTACCATAGTTTCTACCTGAGCTTATTAACCGAAATTATGATCAAACAGTACTTCTGGGAGCACACACAGTAAACCAATAAGAATGGTCATATTTGCAAAGGAAAAGTAGAAAGATCAGGCATGAGGTTTTCTTTGTTTTTTAACTAAATACCTTTTAATGCGGCCTAAAAGTGTTTATTATGTGCACACTTTACTTATAAAAAATTCTTTTCTGGCTCGGCACCTATAGCTCAACCGGCTAAGGCGCCAGCCACGTACACCTAAGGTGGCGGGTTCGAATCCCCAGCCCGGACCCGCCAAACAACAATGACGGCTGCAACCAAAAAATAGCCGGGCGTTGTGGCGGGCGCCTGTGGTCCCAGCTACTTGGGAGGCGGAGGCAGGAGACTCGCTTGAGCCCAGGAGTTGGAGGTTGCTGTGAGCTGTAATGCCACGGCACTCTGCCCAGGGGGACAGCTTGAGGCTCTGTCTCAAAAAAAAAAAAAAAATTCTTTTCTTAAGAAAGAAAGTGCCAAACAAAAATACTTTCAAAATATAAATGGAATAAGCCTGTGTCATAAGGCTTATAAATGACTATAAACTATAAGAAGGGACGCAAGAGTGATGGTAGGTAGAGCAGCTAAAGATCAAAACCACATGGTAGGCTCAAGTGGCTAAGGCGCCAGCCACATACACCTAAGGTGGCGGGTTCAAATCCAGCCCGGACCCACCAAACAACAATGACAGCTGCAAACAAACAAACAAAAAAATAGCTGGGCATTGTGGCGGGTACCTGTGGTCCCAGCTACTTGGGAGGCTGAGGCAGGAGACTCGCTTGAGCCCAGGGGTTGGAGGTTGCTGTGAGCTGTGATGCCACGGCACTCTACCCAGGGAACAGCTTGAGGCTCTGTCTCCAAAAAAAAAAAAAAAACCCACATGGTATTCTTTATGAAATTCTCATAAGGACTGGCATCATGAAGTATTATATTCAAATGTATATTTGATGAAGAGACTAGGGCAGCAAGAGGTGAAGTGGAGTTGTCTGAGATCTCGCAGCTAGTATGTAGGGGAGCTAGGTTCCAGGAACTGGAAATAGACCCTGGACTTTCCACTTTCTGGGTTATTGGTGGATGCTGAATCTGTGCAGCCTCCCAGGATCCTTCAGGATCCTGTCCTTGCTGGCTGATCCACCTTGCAAAGACGTGGAACCCAATTCTAACAAATGGAGCTTTCAAAGCACCATACACGAACAGATTTCCATGAGAAAGAGGTGATATTCAAATACAAGTTTGTTGATTTCAAAATACACAAACAAAAATACGAACATGCTACCAAAGAAAAGCAGGAAGAGCCAGCACATGTGAAAAGCCACTCCTGACGGAGAATGGTATTGTGTGGTCAAGTCATCAGGGTCTTGAGAGGAGCTGGGCTAAGACAAACCTCTGACTTTAACAGTCAGGAAGAAAGCTGCGATACCCGGAAATTGACTAACAACCTGCCTTTATTGTTTGCAAGCCACCAGTTGTGGAAGACTTACTCAGTTTATTGATATTTGGCATTAAAGTACCCCACGTATGTAAATATTCAGCTCTGAATCCATCCATTGAGAACAGGATAAGTGGTGGTAGGTCAAATCTGAAAATAAGAAATGAAATATTTATTCATTATGCTGATTGTTAAAGATATATATACTTTTCTATACTACTCATGATTCTCTAAGTTAGAAAATACTTAGAAAATACAGTAAAAACATAGTTCTGGGTCAAGTAAGGATTACTAAATTCTACCATCTTTTGGATATAATTACGATATGAAATTTAGAAACTCTACGGATTGCGATGCTTTATTATTCTAACTTTTTTTTTTTTGAGACAGAACCTCAAGCTGTCACCCTGGGTAGAGTGCTGTAGCATCACAGCTCACAGCAACCTCCAACTCCTGGGCTCAAACGATTCTCCTGCCTCTACCTCCCAAGTAGCTGGGACTACAGGTGCCCACCACAACTCCTGGCTATTTTTTGGTTGCAGCTGTAATTGCTGTTTGGCAGGCCCAGGCTGGATTCAAACCCACCAGGTCAGCTATATGTGGCTGGCGCCTTAGCCACTTGAGCCACAGGCGCAGAGCCTATTTTAAATTTCTGTATTTTTAATTCTTCATTGTAATATTTCAGAACGTTAATATATACCACAAAGCCATTACAATCTCTTTTAAGACCAGTATTAATATTAAAGTGATGAAAGGTAACTTTTAAGCTATACCTAGAGACTGACATTCCTTAATTAACTATTTTTTTCACTTTTAAAATTTGACTTGTATTATACACACACTCATTTTCCAGATGGGTAGTTTGATCAATTTTTCCTAGCTGCACTCTGTGTGTAATCATCATCTAGAATAAAGAACAGAATATTACCAGTGCCTTTGTACTTCCAGTTACTAAACTCCTCAAGCCAGCCCCCACCATGATGATTAGCATCTTGACTTCTAGCAACATACATTAGTTCCGCCTATTTTCATATTTACCTTTATATGCAAATAGAAACATACAATATGGATTTTGTTGGTTCTGACTTCTTTCCGTTGACGTTATGTTTGACATTCCTCTATACAGTGTAAAGTATTTACAGATCACTCATTCTCATAGTTGTCTTCTATTGCAATGAATAAATAAATTACAACTTATTCTACTGTTGATGGGCTCCTGGGTACTTTCCAAAACAGAGCTATTATGAATAGCACCTACGGGCCTATTCGGTTGCTCATGCTTGTAATCTAACACTCAGGGCGGCTGAGGAGGGAGGAGTTCAGGAGTTCAAGACCTGTAGCAAAATAGCTGGGTGTGGTTGTGAGCCTGTAGGCCCAACTACTTGGGAGCCTGAGGCAGGAGGAGCCCTTGAACCCAAGAGTTTGAGACTATTGTGAGTGAGGCTGATTCCAGGGCACTCTGGCTTGGGCAACAGAGTGAAACTCTGCCTCATAACAAAACAAAACAAACAAAAAAAGATATGAGCATTTCAATGTGTGTGAACTTCATTATACTTCAATTTAAAAATAAAAGTGGAAGACTGGGCATGGCTCATGCCTGTAATCCTAGCACTCTGGGAGACCAGGGTGGGTGATTGCCCTAAGCTCACAGGTTCAAGACCAGTCTGAGTCAGAGCAAGACCCTGTCTCTAAAAATAGCCAGGCATTGTGGCATGTGCCTGTGTTCCCAGCTACTTGGGAGGCTGAGGCAAGAGAATTGCTTAAGCGCAAGAGTTTGAGGTTGCTATGAGCTGTAATGCCACAGGACTCTACCAAGGGCAACAAAGTGAGACTTTGTCTCAAAAAAAAATTTAAAATAAAAATAAAAATGGAAAATTGGGGTGGTTTCAATTGCAATGTGCAAAAAATTCATCAAGAAATCAAATGGCCTGGGGCGGTTTATAATAGAAACTATCTCTTTTTTCATAGAGTCTTTAACATAATTAAGGTTTAAAAATGTATATTCATAAATACATCATCAAGATAACCTTGCAGCTTAAAAACAGGTCATCCATGTACAGGATGAAGGGTGTGATCCAAAGATCCAGAACACCTATTTCTCAATACATAATGCCCCCCTGCCTGTCCAAGGTAGTACATGGAGCTCCAGAGTACATTTTACACTCTGCTGTGATGAACATTTTTGTGGCTAAAACACCTTGGATACATTCCTGAAGATCAGATTTTCTGGTCTAAGGATAAACTTTCAAAGGAGACTAAAATATTTTGCCACGCCTCTTTCCTGACAGTCCATATTGATTATATAGCGCTTCCATAATCAAGACAGATGGCTGGTATTTTTTTTTTTTTTTGAGACAGAGCCTTAAGCTGTCCCTCTGGGTAGAGTGCTGTGGCATCACAGCTCACAGCAACCTCCAACTCCTGGGCTCCAGTGAGTCTCCTGCCTCAGCCTCCCAAGTAGCTGGGATTACAGGTGCCTGCCACAATGGCCGGCTATTTTTTGGTTGCAGCCGTCATTGTTGTTTGGCAGTCCTGGGCTGGATTCGAACCCGCCATCTTAGGTGTATGTGGGCTGGCACCTTAGCCACTTGAGCCACAGGCGCCAAGCCCAAGACAGATGGCTGGTATTTTAGAAGAACAGTGATGTATGGATTACTTCATGGAATGAAATTGTATCTTCTTGTCATTTTTCTTTCTCTGATTACTAACGAGCTAGAACACTGCACACTGCCTGTGATATAGCTTGGATGAGTTTGCTATATGCTGAGAATTGTCATCTCATATTTATTATTTCATGTTATCATTAGCAAAAGTATCTAAAGCCCAGGTACTGATGTCACCTCCAGCTCTCATATGAGATAAGTAGAGAGGATGAGGTAACTTATTCAAGGTGTTCTGCTGCCGAGAGAGGCAGAGCTAGGCTATTGGCCCACACCTGTCTGATTTAAGAGTCCACACTTCTTACTATACTGTGATGACAAGCAAAATCATAAACGGTGATATTACCTTAAATGTCAAGCAAAAGAGTTTCACGTGATATAATGCCCCAGCCACTAAACTTGTAAAATTGTTACCAGCAAATAATAGTAATAGCAGGCAGCATCACTGTTACACATGTGTCCTACAGGGCCAGAGCTCATGGGCAGACATAACTCCAGGGGAATAAATGGAATAAGTGGACGGCAAGAGATGGTTCATGTTCTATTTCCTTCCACCACCACCTCTTCCTCACCAGCTTCCTTTTTGGTCTGTCTTGCTTTAAGGTCGCCAAAGCAGTTCTGTAATTTCTCAATTACTCTGCTCCAGATCTCAGGTCCTCAGGTGAACAAGGGATTTGCCAGGCTGGGGTAGACCATGCCAACTAATCACTGAGGCTCAGACCTCTAGGTTCGTGGAAGTTCTTTACAAGAATCTAAGTGAAAAACGTTCCTTTTCACCTAATGTCTGTCTCCTCCCAATTATCAACCCGAGGGACAGTCTTGGGGCCATAAATACTTCATCCAAAATTCTACCCTTTCACCCTTCTTCTGGTTAATTGCACAAGCTCACACTATGACTTGAGGGTGCATCAAACCACAGAGACGCTGGAGACGTCCTGCCTGTATTTGCTTTCTCCCTCCCGCAGTCACTAGCTGTGTAACCCTGGGTAGATGACTTCACAGCTTTGAGCCTCCATTTCATCATTTGCAAAATGGGAATGGAGATAATAGGGCCTACACCTCAAAGGGTTTTATAGGGAATCATACACAAGATGACTATTGTGTAAAGTACATACCGGTACATAATAAGAACTCTATAAATGTTAGCTGTTATTATCATGCTTTTGTCAGCAATAAATTGTCAGTGTAATTTGAACCGTGAGAAAAGGCCATCTCAATCTAGGCTGTTTGGTCCTGGGCACACCTTAATGGTTCCAGTATCAGGTTCATCTAATAAAATAAGCCATTGAAGGGAAAATTCCACTACAAAAATATTTACAATTTTCTTTTTTTTGAGACAGAGTCTCACTTTGTTGCCCTTGGTAGAGTGCTATGGCGTCACAGTTCACAGCAATCTTCAGCTCTTGGGCTTAGGTGATTCTCTTGCCTCAGCCTCCCTCAGCTGGGACCACAGGCACCCACCACAATACCTGGCTAATTTTTTTGCTGTTGTTGTTGCAGTTTGGCCAGGGCTGGGTTTGAACCCACCACCCTCAGTATATGGGGCCAGCGCCCTACTCACTGAGCCACAGGCGCCACCCACATATTTACAATTTTCAAGTACCTACTCTAGTAGAACCTCCATAGCCGACCACCTCCCTGCATTGACCACCTCCTTAAGTTGACCTAATTTTCATAGGCTGACATGTACCACATGAATCAATATAGCCGGCCTGGTTCCTTATGTTGACCACCTCTATATTTTGACCAGTTTCTTAAGTTCCTTGGGTAGTCAACTTACAGAGGTTCTAATGTATATACTGCATACTAAAAATGAAAAGTAACCTACTATTTCATAACTTATTAAGCATTTTTCCTATCATTAGATCATTTAATTCTCCCCTGAAATCTTCTGAACCTGGGATCATTATTTTTTTCTTTCCATTTCGTAGATAAAGCTCAGAGAAGCAACTATGCAAAGTTCCACAGGCAAACTCAGGATTCAAACTCCAGCCTTCTTTTTATTCTATATCTTTTGCTCTTCAACCCAGAAGCTACTAAAGAGGGCAGCTGGGTCTGAGCTACAAACCGAAGTAGGTTGGTACAAAGGCAGACACATCATCACATACATATCTTCAAATGAGATTATGCTATTTAAAAATGTTTCCATCAACTTCTCCTAAAACTGTGAAGCCTGACCCACTCTGTTTTGTACCGGCTGATTCTATCTTGTACATGATTTAAAACTTTGCAGCCCCCACTGCCCTTTCCCTCACATATTGTTACAGGCCCCTGAGCATGTATACCCCGCAGGAACAGAAAGATAAGTTTAAAATTGCAAAACCTTGAAAACTCCCAGTCTGGACGCAACACCTGCTTTTCTTAAAGGCCCCTTGTGCCCACTTACTCACTCCCGATAGACTCTAATTTGCAAGTCTTGCTTCTGTGACCTCTTGGCTTTTAGAAAGCACCCCACCCACCCCCCGAATGAGCAAGTTAAAAACCCTGCTACTCTGCTTCTCTTGGCCAAGAGATTTTTTGGGGTATGAACCTTTTTCTCAGTGCCGGCTATAAAGGACCCTAAAACTCAATTGGACTCAATGTGCTGGTGTAATTCTTTTTAATTCGACTCCCATTTGGGAACAAGGAAACAAGGTATTCCTTTCTCTTTTGTTTTCCTCACCTTCATCCCCCTACTGGTGGGCCCAGAAAAGTGTGAAGGGCAGAGTTGGGAAGGGGAGTTTATGTTGGCTCTGAGAGGATGTGGGGCACATTTCTAGGCCTAGGCATAGTCAAGTGACTGCTACCATAAAGGTGTGGAAGAAATACATAGAAGGATTAAGGTGGATGGCAGGAGAAGGTCCGCCTCACCTCACAGGTGTGTCACCTGTGTCTCCCCTGACAAAGACCTCCTCTTTCACCCTTCATGGCCCTCCTTCCATCAACAAACTTCTTCCCTTTCTCTCAGTAAGAAGAAATCTGAGGCACCAGGATGTTTGTTAGTAGAAAAGGGTTCTGGTAGGAGTAATTTCCATCTAAATTCTAGTCCTAACCTTTGGGCATTGGGAGTGTTAGTTAGTTAAGACTCCAACCATGTTTTTAAGTCATTGTTCTAAGACCTGAATGTAATAAGTGAATACAAATGTGCTTTGTAAAAAATAAAACAAACAGAAGTCCATTAGGACTTTGAAGCCACAGAAATCCAATCTTTTGTTACCTTGTCTGTTTTGTGATGCAAACACAGAATGTGCCAAAAAATGCATATACATTTCAAGGAAGGGAAAAACCTGTATTCAGGGTATATCATACACTTCCTGGGTGAAGGGCACAACTACAACCCAGAATTTAACATTATAAAATAAATTATGTAACTTAGTCCTGTGTATCCCAATATTCATCTAAAATTTTAAAAAAGAAATACTGTATCAAAATCATAACACTCAACATATACTGACAACATTTGTTATTTTATATAGTGTATCTTGTTTATCTTGCAGAAGGAAGCGTGACTTGAGTAGTACAGTTTTATTATAGTCTTTTCCCTTTCTTAAACTGTATATACATTTTGGGGGTTCTTTGGGCATTCACTGCAGCATGTAGGAAACCCCCACCTCTCAACTGCATTTCCATGGTCCCCTGTAGAGGATAAAAGTCTCCATGTCATTTATTCTCACCCTTTTGGACACTGAGACTCCTGGGCTGCATCACAGCTTTCTTCTACCCAGGGGGTTTCTCCTGAAAAGCGTAAGAAGGAAATCTTTACACTGCTGCACCACGGACTAGAACAGAGACGCTAACGTTCAGAATGGTTATGGTCTTCCCCAACTGCCTAATTCATGCTGCTCTGATGACTAGATTCTTCCAGAACACATAAGTGCCATTTCACCTGTAGGCAAGAGAAGTTCCCTGAGTGTTTACAGTGATTACACTAACTGAATACCAGGAAAACGAATATTTACCAATATAAACAAAGGGGAGTACTTAGGCTAAAAAGAGATATTTCTTCTTCTTGTTCTTAATGACTTTTTTCCTTAAGGACAATATTTTCCCAACTGCTAGAATAAAGGGGTTTAATATAGATATATAATCTAAAGGAGAGAAAACAAATAAACAAAAAAGAAATAGCCAGTGAGAATAACTGATATCAAATGGGAGAAATTTAACAAATGTTTAAAATTGTAACAAAAAAAAATTCTTGCTTCATGAATGTTTCTCTATAGAATACTCCAACGAGTAAGATAGAAATGACAAAATATGAATGTCACCCTTTGCAACCTCTAATGGATCTAGGCAATATTACCAATGGCTAACATCCCCCAAAAGACACCATCACACATGAGAAGCCTCTTAACAAAAGTAACACCGTCACCTGCAAAGCATACTTGCAAAAAATAATTAAATTACATCTAAATCTAAACAGTCCTCCAGCTCTGACCACTAATTTTACAGGAAATATAAAGGATAGCAAAATTCTTAAATCACAAAGGATGTGTCTTTAGCACAACCCAGACTGGAAAACTCTGCAGGACAAATAATCCCTTTTCTCCTACAAAAAAACTGCAAAGAGGGTAATCCTAGCACTCTGGGAGGCCAAGGCAGGTGGATTGCTTGAGCTCACCAGTTCTAGACCCCGTCTCTACTAAAAATAGAAAAACTGAGGCAAGGGGATCACTCGAGGCTCAGCGTCTGTGGCTCAGGTGGCTAGGGCACCAGCCACATACACCCAAGGTAGCATGTTCAAATCTGACCTGGGCCCACCAAACAACAATGATGGCTGCAACCAAAAAATGGCTGGGCATTGTGGCGGGCGCCTGTGGTCTCAGCTACTTGGGAGGCTGAGGCAGGAGACTCACTTGAGCCCAGGAGTTGGAGGTTGCTGTGAGCTGTGATGCCACA